ATCAATGGAAAGCTCTTTGAAAATGAATATCAGTTTACATTTACCACATTTCGATAGCTATTTTCGTTTTCAGCCTATAAGCGAATATATATATTTCGCCCCGATTTCCAACCCTTATAACTCGCCCCAGGGGCTTTATTAGCACGTATAAAAAAATACGTAAACCTTATTTTTGGCCATACTATCGCTGTACCAAATTTCAACAAAATCGGTGAGGGACAGTTCTGATACTTCCCTTGTCAGAGAAGGAGAATCGGTATTGGGTAACCTTATGTTCTATAGACCTTGCATCTAACCTACAAATTGTTTATTTTATAGCCACGCACAAAATGAATCTGATAAACTCAAAAGTAAAGTTATTTTCACTTAACTACTATCCGCGCAAAAAGTCAAGGTCCCTCACTTTAGAGATCGATATCTTCGTAACTACTTGATGAAAAAAAAATCGACAAAGTTTGTTGTAATCACTGAACATTTGTACGTAACATATGTTAATTTGAAAATTTTCGGATCAGCGGTTTTCTTTTTATCGCGAGTTAAATGAAAAAAGTACCCGATTTTTTACGGTATCGGCAACTTTGTCAACTTTGCGATTTTTTCTCTCGAAAACTATCATATTAAAATATGTCAATTTTGAACAGGTGGTAGTCTGATATGTTTTTAATAAGGGGCATATTTTATTTTTACGATATTCCATATAATTTCGCAAAAAATCGCAATTTAGTTGGACGCTGTTATGTCGAAAACGGCTGGGTGAATTTCAACGCGGCTTTAACTAAAATGTGCCAAATAATTGCGTTTGTCAGATAATGTTATCAGTTCTTCAAAGTTATGTTTCTCTAATTTTTTTAGAGCGATTTAAGCGAATTATAAATTAAAAAGTAACAGAAATAAGCCATGCGGGGAAAGGAGGGTTTCGTCCAATCGGAAAATATGGTCCTGGTGTGTGTTCCAGAGACAAGACGGCGCCTTATTTCTTTATGTAGGTAAGATAAAGGCGCAACGTACTGTTTGGAACGTACCATCTTTCCGATTTGACGGAACCCCCCTCTCCTTGCAGAGCTTATTTCTGTTTCTTTTTAATTTATGATTCGCTTAAATCGCGGGCCTTGACTTTTTGCACGATTAGTAAGTAGATGAGATAACAATGTATACAAGTGTCTCATGTAACTGGTTCGTTGCGTGAGAATTTGAGAGAACCTACAATAAATAGGTATATAGTTAATTTTTTTTCTATAATACCTGTCAATTTGTTGTAAAGTTTTTAAACAGGGAGTTTTGTTTTATCATGTTTTGAAGTAAATATGTCACATTGACGTTTGAGCTTTCGTTATTCAAAAAGAAAAGGTGCAGTAAAAGTGTTGTGGGGTGTTTATTTGCCATTTATTTACCTAGAAAAGGTATTTTCTTCTATTAATTACTTTGTAGCACGTTTTTACAACAAATATGTACTTCGTTAAAATCGTATTTATCTAAAAATTTATTAGTATTTTAACCTCAACTATTTAGTTACTGAAAATGTTACTAAAAATCAGTAAAACAACATAAATTTTATAAGGGTCCTAGGTAATACCAACAGAAACTCTAAATAATTTACATTGACAAGTATTATAGAAAAAAAACGAACTATAGGAATGTTTATGGATAAATTGTAGAGAATTAAATTCCTTTTCGGGTAGGCTAATAAAATATGGGGCGGTACATTTAAAATTTTCGACTTTCTTGCGGTTGAATATGGAGAAATGGTAATTCAATTTTTGACCACTATGTATGAGATACTCTGATACAATAAATGACAATCTATTTGATAGCAGCTGAAAAGTAATCGTGCCAATTCAGAGCTTTGGGGTTTTAAAGAGCATGGTGAAATTTGCCAAAAAAAACTTAAAATCAAAATAACTTGAAAACGAAAGACGCTAGGTGTCAATAATTTTGATGAAAGTCAACATATTTTTTCACGTACAATTAGAAGGTGTCATAAAAACTATAGCGTTCCATTTAAAATAACGAAGTTATAGTCTACTTCCGGTAGACCGGAAGTGGCAGCCATCTTGAAAATATTTTAGATTGAAAGTTCCGAATGAACAACCCATGCTACCAAAATTTCAAAACTGTAAGAATAGTGGAACCTAAAAAAGTTCTAACGAACCAGTCACGTGAGACACCCTGTATTTTCTGATGGATAACGACTGACTACGTGTCGTTAGATAGATTGTGTATCAATAGACTCTGTGTTAATACTAGAACTAACACTAGACTGAAAACGAGAAACATTCGAATTTAGCCCCACGACTCTCAAGACGGATAAACCCGCATGATTCTAGTTCTAGGTCTAGTGTTAGTTCTAGTTTTGCTAGTTCTGGGTCTAGTGTTAGTTCTAGTTTTGCTAGTTCTGGGTCTAGTGTTAGTTCTAGTTTTACACTAGCACTATCACTAGAACTAACACTAGACCTAGAACCAGAACCATTCGGGTTTAACCCATGCCCACCCGACCTTTGAGAAATTCTCAAAGTGGAATTTCTACACAAAATTCTGAAATAAATCAGTAAATTAGGTGGATCCGAATGTAACGTTTAAAAAGAGGGGTAAGCCATCAGGTCAGGTATAGATTTTAGGTTATCTTTAGTTTATAAAGGTGTCCCAACAAGAGCGCCGGATTTAAATTTGCCGCCATTTTATTAATACGAGTTGTACGGCGTTTTTTGTTTGACAGTTGTCACGTATAGACCGCGCGATTTATGAATATGGTGAACTATTCAAACGAACAACGTCTAACTATTGTAAAAACATTACAAAAATGGTGAAAGTTTTGCGAAAACTGTTCGCCAATTACGTGAAGTTTTCGATCGCAATAATGCGCCAAATGAATCAACAGTGAGGCGTTTAATTACAAAATTTGAGAGCAAATTTATACTGGTGGATCAGAAGATCAATGTTCGTCGTCGTCCTTGTCGGTCACTTGAAAACATAGCCATAGTAAGGGAATCTGTGGTCGAGAATCCAGGAACTTCCATTCGACATCGTGGTCAAGAATTAAACATTTCCAGAAGCACTATGCAACGCATTTTGGTAAAAGATCTGCATTTGCACGCGTACAAGGTTCAATTGGTGCAAGAAATCAAGCCAAGGGACCATGCGCAGCGCCGTCGATTTGCTGATTGAGTGTTGGAACATCATCAAATTAATATGGACTTCTCGAAGAAAATCATTTCTTCAGATGAGGCACATTTTCAACTCGACGGATACGTAAATAAACAAAACTGTCGAATTTGGGATGCTGAAAATCCTCGTGTGGTACTCAATCAACCAATACATCCACCGCGAGTAACTGTTTGGTGTGCATTTTGGACTGGCGGAGTGATTGGACCGTATTTCTTTTTTGTTGAATTTTTGTGGCCCGAATTGGATGTCATTGATGTGAAGGACATGTTTTTCCAACAAGACGGGGCGACCTGCCACACAGCACGTGAAACAATGGCGTTACTGCAGACCAAGTTTCCGGGCTGTGTCATTTCTCGATTTGGCCATCAAGATCGTGCGATCTGACACCAATGGACTTTTTTCTTTGGGGCTATGTAAAGGAAAAGGTGTATGCGAATAAGCCTGATACAGTCGAAAATCTTAAAGAGGAAATACGGCGCGTTATTGGTGAAATACAGCCACATTTATGCGAAAACGTTATTGAAAATTTCAACAAAAGAATAACCCTGTGCCAGAGGTTTCGTCGTGGTGGCCATTTGCCTGATGTTGTATTTCATCTTTAATCGGAACTATTTTTCTTTATGTTGAAATCAAAATATTTGCTTAATTCAAAAAATAAATGTGTTTTTCTTCAAAATTAAATCCGGCGCCCTTGTTGGGACACCTTTAGATGTTAAACAACGACATTTTAGTCATTGTGCATCGAAAACCGAAGAAACAACCGTATTTCACCCGAAAATATGCGTTTTAACCAAATGTGCTGCGAAAATATATATACATATATTTTCGCACAAAAGTGATACTTTTTTTTTATTAGTAACGACTTACTTAAGCGCACTTGAGTGTATTCCCATCGATTAAAAAAAAATTGTCGAATTTTAAACGACATGATGATTCTTGAATTATACCATTATTTTTTATTCATCACGATTTTATCGATTATCTTTAGTGTATTTTTTGTGGCATCAACCCCAGGAAAACACTACCCGAAAAACTCTGGATGCCACCTTTATCGAACCTTAGATCTTCTTTCTCGTCATTGCAAATTAGATTCCGATCCAAATTCTTGGCAAGTTAACATTCAAGCGTCAAGCATCGGTACATTAGGAAAAGCTCCCGGAGATTGGTTACGTAGCGTGTTATTGAGAAGTTTAGCTTGTAGACAAAAATATTCACCAACAGCTAACCCTACAGTTGATATTAACATCATTTATCCAACGGTAGAAAATGTTATGAAAAGTTACTTTGGCCCTCAAGGTGGCGGATGTTTACCATATTCTAAAAAAGTTCATGAAAAACAATTATGGTTACAAAGTTATTTACGGTAAAATATATTTTAAATTAAAAGTTAATATTAATTTAGTAATTTTTTGAATTTTTGGTTATGATTAAATGTCGTGTCAAATAATATTTTTAAATTATTTTTAATTTTTAGCAAATGGTCTGCAGATTCATTATCAAGAACGAGAGCGATGCCACATATTAAAACTTATTGCAGGATTTCACCGTGTAAATCAAAATTGGCTTGGTTTTTATTAACTAGTGCTAATATTTCGAAAGCTGCTTGGGGTGGGGGTATTCAAAGAGATGGGGGTATTTACGTTAGATCTTATGAAGCTGGGGTTATGTTTTTCCCGAGCTTCTTTAACCAGGAACATTTTGAAATTGGAAAAGATACATTTCCTTTTATGTATGATACAACTCTTAAAAATTATGGTTCCGATGATTACCCGTGGTGTAATTAGCTTATTTTAAAAATAATGTTTTAAGTTTATTATTATTTTAAATCCAATAAAACAAACAAAAAAATATTGTTTTTTTTTAAATTAAATTTTTTTTTAATAAATAAAGCGTCATTGACCTCTGTGGTGAAGGTTTTTTCAGGGTTAATCAACAAAATACACCAGGGAGAAACATGAACAAGCCCAAATAATGTTCAGGTTTTCAGAGAGAGAGTATCACGTGCGTTTTCAGGCGTCGTTCGATCGACGCAGGCGTCGTTGTTGGACGTCGTCGACGTCGTGATCAGTAAGCTCGCGACGTCGTCGGGGGCAGACATCCACGTAAACTGAGGTGTGATCAAAATCTCGTAAAACGTGAAAGAATTATGTCCGTGACCGCTAAAAACTCAAAAACCGTTTGTTTAAAACATTAAATTGTTGGAAATTTAGTTATGTTAAAAGGCGTCAATTCGAAATTGGCGATGCCAAACATTTGCAAAGTGAAAAAGGAATATTATTACTACTGCTGACGCCTGGTGGTGGTTATTTTATGATTTTATTTAAAAAGATAAATAAATACAAAAATTAAATAAAATAAAAAGGGGTGGTTTCTTGTATGTGTGTGGATGAGAATTTTCTTGATAGATGAAAAGCTTTCAATATGGATGGAGTACTGGACCGGAACCTCTTCATACCTCCTCGAGCTTGGAGTGTAGCGTGGGGTGGGGACATCATCTGAAGGGAACGCAATGAATATTCCTTGTGGAACCAGAAAATGTTATCGGGTTCTAATATGTTAGGTAAGTAAAAAGAAACTTGATTAAAAAAAATGGAACCCCTTAAAAAGTCATTTTTGGATATTCAACATAAAGGTATCTTAAGATCACATTACACCACCGCCCTCTATACAAAAACCTGTTGGAACCTGTTGATACTGGTTCATTTTAGGTGCTGATAAGGATACACTTTTAGCTTTTAGGTTATTCAGGATCGATTAAATTTTTTTTAATTACTTGTGCCTTTAAAAACGATTTTTTTTAATATCAACTAAAATATTGTAGATATTGTAACGCTTCGCGTGAAATGAACAAAGAGTTCATTGTTGAGGATGGCTTCCGAGCCGAAATAGGTCGGTCCATGAGAGATAAATGCAAACAAACGGTTCAAAAGATGGCCGAAAAAGAAACGGTTAAAAGAGAGAGCTTTTCAACGAATTTTAATTATAAATTTAAGTTTCCAAGAAAAATTATTTTAAGCTATCCATTTTGAAGGTTATATTTAAAACGTCAAATATGACAGCTGAAATATTAAAATTAATAATTACATTTTAAACGTCAATTAAACCGTCAAATTTGACAACTTCTTTTTACATTTCAATAAGAATTTGTAAAATTTATTTACAAATTACACATTAATGAGGGGGTTTTATCCCATTATACAACATTCAGCGCCTGCAACTTCTCAACGTTGTCCCGTTAGTTTTCTCTTCTAACTATCAATGTTCTACAATGTTACCACTGAAAAATTCGATCAGTAACTCGTATTCTATCCTTCACTGGTTATTATCCAAGATATATACATTCTTTCTATTATATCGGTAATAAATTTTCTGATGCTTATTGGAACGAACAGGTCTAGTGTTACTTATAGTTTTGCACTAGCACTACACTAGAACTAACACAAGACCTAAAACTAGTAACATTCGGGTTTAGCCGCAACATGTGATATCTTATGCTAACTACCGCTACCCAGCACTATCACTAGAACTAAAATTTGACCTAGAATATTATTCCTAAAGTTTTAAATCTCGTATCTCAAGGACAAATTGAGATACGATGATGAAATAAAAAATATTTGGAATCAAATTTAATGCGCCATAAATAATTTCTTATTTCCCATAAACACCGTTGTTATGACTGAATTTTCTTCAATTTCGGTGAACTAAAGTTTGTGATCGACCCAAAACTTCTCCTTCTATAAACTCCCCGGATTCTAACAATTTCTAACAAAGGGGGCATTAATTCGACGAGTGAATGTGACCCGGTTTTCTCGACACGTGACGTACCCTCGGGATATTTTATCCCGAACTTGAGTTCGCGGTCCGTGAATTTTCTGGTTCTCTCTCTGTCGATTAAAAGTTCACAACCAATCTTCCGGAGATGTAAAATGAGTGTATAAAGCCGTATGGTTAAAAAAAATGGGTAATAACTCTGAACTTGTTGAATATACAGGCGCGCCACAAAAGCAAAAGATTTTTTTGGACCCGATCCAAAGGCAATCTTGTAGATCATGTAGCGTGTACAGATTTAGTGCAGGATATGCAATTAAATGAAACCAGCACACAATTTGTGCCGATCGCTAATTATAACAATTCTCTCAACAAACAAAGTAATAACAGTTCGAAAACGAAATGATTACGATGTTTAATTTCGGTACGAAATCTATTTTTACTCAATAATCAAATGAGTAATTGGCTCTTGAAGTTCAATCAAATAAAATTCGACATAAATTTTAATATCTTTTTCGAATTCTTCGTTTTATTACATTTCGAATAAATTTTGATTGATTTCTCGATACAGCTCATCGTTTTATAGGCAAGTTTATTTAAATTTGAATCTTTTGATCTGTGTTTATCAGCGTTAAGATTATTTATTGCCATTATTAATTCATATTGACATATTTCTAAACCTCCATCGGCTCAAAGATGATGAAATTTTGAATTCTAATATTCAAAATATTCCTACGAAAACGTCATTATAAATAAACCGTCTTGAAACTATTATTGGATTTTATAATACGCAATATCCGCGTATGTATTCGTTGATATTATTATATTATATAGGGCGTGATGTTGACTAACGGCGTAAACAAAAAATAAATTTGACTAAAACCTGAGCATCGTTCCATAGAAGAACAATAAACAAATCGGGAACATGTGTGTAAATATGTTCTGTCTTTCGTATGAATGATTAGAATTGCCTTCTAATTTGTTATTAAATTAAGTTTAATTTTGAAATCTGCTGAATAATCTAATTTCAGTTTTGGAACACGAACAGATTTACGTTTGTGCATAAATTACGTAGTGCACAGAAACTTTGGCGAGCTGATGAAATGAAATCCACTTCTCTTTGAAACGGTTTAAGGCGTGTTTACGTTTGGTTTCGTTGCAAATTTTCCATTTTACAAGGTTTATCCACATCCAGGGTACTTTGTACACCGTGAAAAGCTTGATCTTTTCACAGAAAACAACAAAAAAGTGTACTTATAATAAATTCGCGAAGGACTATTTATAATATACAGAGAAAATACCTTCGAAGAGGTATTTTTGGATAAAAAAAACCGTTCAATGGCTACGTTAATTTTTTTTTAATCGTAAAACGTCCAATTTTATAATCCACACTGTAACGTTTTAATTTAAGAACGTTCACGTTGGTCCGATTAAATTGAAGCAACAAAAAATTATTCCGAAATACCGTCATTTTCATTCAGAATCGGTTTGAGTCATTGAAAACTATTCAAATTAACCAGACCACAAACTAAACAAGCAACGAAATAACCGCTCGTAGATGGCGTGTCATAACAATCGTAAATCTGGCAACAGCTTTACCAGCAGATGCTTGTTTACTTTTATGTGCTCCCGTCGAGTGGGAAAAACAAATCTTTAGAAAATCGATGCTTCACCACAACGCTAAGTGAAAATTTCAAATTTAATTAAAACTTAATTAACTACATTTATACACACCTACTTTTCCTAACAAAATTCAATATTTTTACTGATTAGTGTAGATTTAGTGTAAACAAACTTGTTTATCAAATAAGATTTAGCTTATCTTTGTCATCAAGTTTGCAGAACTTTAAATTAGAAGTTAGCAACACGAACGAATAACATTTTTCATTTCTCGAGGTATTAAAAGAAACTTATTCCACCCATCTATAATAGCTTCGTTTATAACATTAATTCATCTTAACCAATACTTTTGGATTAAAGTAGGTACTAAACCGAAAAAGATGAACAAGAAATAATAATAGTGATTTTTTTATCAACATTTGTTATACAAACTGTAACTTCTTGAGATGTTACTTCTAATATTTAAACGTCAGTTATTTACTCTATTTTAAGATGAAGCAACTATTTATTTTCAAAAAATCATCACAAATTGGAAATTTAATAAATCGTCATGAAATTATTAGCATTTGTTCTAGAGAGTTCTAGAGTTCTCTGAGATATTAATTTTTGAACGTTTACTCATTTCAATTCGTTACAATACAAATTTGTTTCACATCTGGAGGTATTTTCCCCAAAAGTTCCATGTCAATGGAATATAAAAACTCGTTCATCTCAAAGCGTATAAAAGTCGAGTCCACAGTTCAACATTTCGTTAGTCAACAACGTTCAATCCACGCCGATGCAAACGAAGTGAAGGCAAAAAAAAACGTCGACGTTCCCAAAATTAAAAATTTTCAAAGAATAAAAATCTTTAAGAAGTTTTCACTAAGAAGATGTCTTGCGGTGGTTCATGTGGTGGTTCGTGTGGTGGGGGAAATCGAAGCTACAAGCAAAAACCAAAGAAAATTACGGTCTTAACATATGTACCAATAAGATCCAGTCGAGAATATAGCAATTATGGATACGTTAATGGTAGCAATGATGATTCTTTATCGTATAATGACTATTACGACTCCATCATCTTAGAGGAGGCAATTGCAACCAAAGAGATAGCCCTTTGTGTTTTCATAGATATAGAGGGTGCGTTTGATAACACCTCATGTGAATCCATAGAGAAGGCTTTAAACGTAAAAGACATACATCCGTCGACAATCAAGTGGTGTATAGCCATGTTGAAAAGTCGGCAGATCACAGCCAGTCTGGGAGGCGAGTCGCTGACTATAAAGGCGCTAAGAGGATGTCCCCAAGGGGGAGTGCTATCACCTCTATTATGGTGCCTGGTAGTTGATAACTTGATGAACACCCTAACTAAAAACGGATTTAAGATACAAGGGTATGCTGATGACCTGGTAATCACAATCCGAGGTAAATATGATTCAATCATAACTCAGCTAATGCAGAAAGCCCTACTACTCACCAGTACTTGGTGCAGAAGCAATGGGCTCAGCATCAATGCCAATAAAATCGAAATAGTCCCTTTCACTCGGAGAAGGAAGCTACAAATAAAAGCACCCTCCATTGAAAGCAGAACTATTAACCTCAAAACAGAAACTAAATACCTAGGGGTAATACCTGACAGTAAACTAAACTGGAATTCACACTTAGATAAGGTGAGGAAAAAGGCCATCATGGCAAACCAGATCTGCCGCAGGCTCCTAGGAAGGAACTGGGGTCTCAAACCACGAATGGCTCATTGGGCCTACGTAGCAATAATCAGACCCATGGTCGCCTACGCCTCATTGGTTTGGTGGCCAAAAACAAAACATAAGACAGCTCAACAACAGCTGGCACAAATCCAGCGGTTACCATGTCTTAACATAACGGGTGCAATGAGATCCTGTCCGACGGCTGCTTTGGAAGCCCTACTCGGGCTCACACCGCTCCACATATATATACAAAAGGAGGTAGCCTTAAGTGCCTTATCACTGAAAACAGTTTCTTCACTCAAGTTGATGCAGGGTAACCTCAGAAGACACCTCGAGATCCTCAAAGACCCATGTCTAAATCACCTGATTGCAATTAAAACGGACCTTATACCGACGGAATACAATTTCAACCAACCGTATAAGGTCATATTTAGTAGCAGGGATGATTGGGCCTCAACTAAAAAGAGGAGCCCTAGCCTGGTACACCGATGCTTCAAAGACAGTAAGATCTGGAGTAGGCATGGGCATCAGTGGACCAAATAGCCACATCAAATTGCCCCTCAGCTCGGACTTAACAATTTTCCAAGCAGAAGTTCTTGCTATAAACTTCTGCACCGCTTTGAACCTACAGAAGGGACAAAAAGGTGCATCCATAAACATTTTCACAGACAGTCGGGCCGCCTTAAAGGCAATTCAGGCCTACACGTGTGGCTCCGCACTGATCAGAGAGTGCACCAACAACCTGAGAGAACTCGCTAGGGGCAATGATGTTACCCTATGGTGGGTTCCAGGTCACAGCAACATTGAGGGCAATGAGAAGGCCGACAAGCTGGCCAAAGAGGCAGCAAACACGCCCTTCATTGGACACCAACCTGGATGTGGACTACAAAAAAGCCACCTAAAACAAATAATCAACAACTGGGAGGCTTCAAAGATAGCCTTACGCTGGAAAGAACTTCCAGGTCACAGACAAGCGAAGAGTATGATAACTCCGTCGCAAAACAAAACCAAAGAGGTTTTATGCCTCAGCAAAGGGGATCTAAGAACGCTCTCAGGCTACCTAACCGGCCATGTGCCCCTAAAATACCACCTATTCCACATTGGACAAGCTGAGGATCAAACTTGTCGACTATGCAACAGAAACTGCTGAACATATACTGTGCAATTGCGTCGCCAGAGGCCGTCTAAGGCACAACGTCTTCGGTAAAACTCCCCTGTTACCTACCGACATAAAGGTTCAAGACCTCAGGACAATACTAAGGTTCATTAAGGACCTACATTTGTCCTAAACCTTTGGAGGGCTAAAGTTACAATAGATCTTATAGGTCGCGGTAACGAGAGGGCCCTCCTCAGCCCGGCAGCAATAATAATAATAATAATAATCAGCTATAAAGAACAAGAAGTGGAAGAAGGAGAGGATGCGGAGGAGGAGGCTGCGGTTGTGGAGGACGTGGATGCTGGTGTTAACTTGATAATGTTTATTTTATATTTTTAATTTTTAATTCACGCATTTCATACAATTCTCATTTATTCATTGATTTTGTCGCAGATGTTTCATTGTTGATCAATTTTAACATGTTTTTTGATATTTCTACTTTTCATAAATAAAATGATTATTATACATTGAACTAAAAAAAATGTTTCTCTTTTTATACCCAATGCCTACCAACAAAAATCGTAGCCTTAATATCAATATTTATTTTCAGTCCTGTTAATTCCGTGATGGCGACGAGGCAAAATGCCTCGTTGAATACCACGACTACATTCGTTCCTCCGACAACAGCATCCCTTTCGAAAGCGGAACAAGACAAAATTGATTTCTACAACACTTACGATCCAATGACAGGAGTACGAATCGCAGCCACTCTCGGTGGGTTTTTTGGCCTTATGGTGCTTTTAGTAGTTTGTAAATCGAAATCGAAAACCGAGCGAGCATTAGAAGACCCGAATATAGTCGCCGCGGCGGCCGCGGAAGCCGAAGAGGAAGAGAGACAAATCGAAGCCGCTCTTCAAGCGACCGCTTATCACGAACTTAATCCGAGGAGATCCAGAAAAAGCTTGGATTGCGCCGGAGTATCACCGGGATGGATTAGAAGTACTCGATTTTCTTCTATCGGTGGATATTCGAGTTTAATGGATCCGCCATTAAGAAGTCCCGTTAAATTACCTTGTTCTATCGATGAAGATAGTCCCGAAGAACGATCGATTTACGATGATTTTTCTACGTATTATACTAGGTGAGTTTTAATTTTATATACAATGTATATCAGGAATTTTATATAACCCGCAATATATTAATGCAGCAACCATACTTACGAAACTACTGTGTACTTGTTTTGCAAAGATTATATTGACTTATTGCATTTTATGTGGGACAAAGTATAATCTGTTTTTTATTTAAATCAATTGTCAAAGTGTCGTCAAAAAACAATTTTCATATAATTTTTTTGCTGCTAAATCTACCATAAAAATGTTAAGAAAGGGTGGAACGGGATGTCAACTGTCTAAACGCGAAAAAAACTCTATAATTAGGTATTGTGAAGAAGTACAGACGGAGACACCAAATACGAATTTAAAATATATATGTGATAAAGCTTCACGTATTTTTGATGTATGTGTATTGCACTTGAGTTTTAAAATTAAATTTATATTCAACATAATTGTATTAGGTTCACAGCACGACGGTTTTTAAAATTATTCAAACCTACAAAAAATATCAAACTGTAAAAAAACCAAAAACACAAGGGCGTTGTAAAATGAACTACAAAACGGATAATAATTTATATTTTATTAAAGAAGAGTTAGGAAGACAAATACAAAAATTGCATGAAAAGAAACAGTATTTTAATCTTAATGATTTACTTAATTTTGCAAGAAATGAATGTGATTTTACTAATGGTAGATCAAAATTACATAAAATTATAAAATCTATGGGATATAGATATAAAAAGATTAGCAATAGAAAAGTGTTAATTGAACAACCACATATAGTTTCAAAAAGAATTACATTTTTAAAGACATACTTGCAATACCTAGAATCCGGAGAGTATACTTTTGTTTTTCTTGACGAAACTTGGATTTACGAAAATGGCACCCAAGTTTATCAATGGGTAAATGAAAATGAAAGATTCGGTATTCCGCAAAGAGCAGAAGGCGAAGGAAAAAGATTTACAATCTTGCACGCAGGCACTTCGTCAGGGTTTTTGCCAAATTGCGATCTCTTGCTCAGTGACAACACGGAGCACAGAGATTATCATAAAAATATGACGTCAATTATTTTTATGGAATGGGTGAAAAATCAATTACTTCCAGCATTAAATAATTAAGGTGCGAAGTGTGCGGTAATAATGGATAATGCTCCATATCACTCAAAACAAATCGAGAAAGCTCCAAGTTTCTGCACAAAAAAAATGGTTAACTGAACATAATATACAGTTTGAACCAACTTTAAATAAAAAATCGTTATGGGAAATAATCCGTTATTACAAGCCTCAAATTGAAAAATCCTTTGAAATTGACAAATTAATAAGAGACCATGGCCATACTGTTCTTCGCCTTCCTCCATACAATTGCCAATATAATCCCATTGAACTATGTTGGGCGTTCTTAAAAACTTATTACAATAAACATGTTCAGTCCAGCTCGGAGAAAAAGATCTGTCGTGTCAAGGAGACTTGGCAAAAAGCTCTTGGTCATTACACTCCGGAGATGTGGGCAAATAGTGTTCGCCACTGTGAAGAACTAATTAAAAAAGATTGGACAACATTAATGNACTAGGGCACGGAACTTTTGTAACAAAACGATACGATTTCCCCCCTCCACTCGTTCTCAGCAGAAAATTTCATACAAAAGTTGTTCTAAATTAAATTCTAAAACGATTTTCTCAATAAAAAATATATATAATATACAGGGTGGTTCAGTTTTTAATCAGGAAACTCTACTAGGACGTAGCACTTGCCAAAATAACACATGTTCTTTATATAAACATAGGGTCGCAACTCTTTTGTTTTCGAGCTATGAGCTGTCAAAGTTGAACCAAAAATTTACATTTTATCTTTTATTTCGTGTATAAGTAAACCGTAGAATTTGAAATTTTGTATGTATGTACTACTGGCTAATACCATATTTTTAACCATACCTTAAACTTTCCTAGCGCCCTCTAACGGGATGAAATTCATAACACCTTTGATTTTTTTCAAATTACGTTGTTTTAAACAATATTCAAAAATTGATACTCTTGCTTAATAACAGTCAAAAATTATTAATAATCATCAATAATTGTGAGGATTCACCGTAAATGAAACTTACAAGTTTTCAGAGCCAACTTTTAGAATAATTTTAGCTAAACATGGCAGCACATGGCGGTACTTGGCACAACATATTAATTTTTTACACGGAAACTATTAACTTTAAGGAAAATACTAAAGAAACAAAAAATACCACTAAAGAATGAGCTTTACAACCCATACTTTTTTATGTTAATATTCCATAGCGTTAAAAAGTTCTTATAAAAAAATCAAGGGGGTGGTGAATTTCATCTCCTTAGAGGGTGCTAGGGAAGTTTAAGGTATGCTTGGAAATAAGATCTTAACCAGTGGTATATACGTACAAAGTTTCAAATTCTACGGTTTACTTACAGCCGAAATACAAAACAAAATGTNTCAATTATTTTTATGGAATGGGTGAAAAATCAATTACTTCCAGCATTAAATAATTTGGGTGCGAAGTGTGCGGTAGTAATGGATAACGCTCCATATCACTCAAAACAAATCGAGAAAGCTCCAAGTTTCTGCACAAAAAAAAATGATATGAAAAAATGGTTAACTGAACATAATATACAGTTTGAACCAACCTTAAATAAAAAATCGTTATGGGAAATAATCCGTTATTACAAGCCTCAAATTGAAAAATCCTTTGAAATTGACAAATTAATAAGAGACCATGGCCATACTGTTCTTCGCCTTCCTCCATACAATTGCCAATATAATCCCATTGAACTATGTTGGGCGTTCTTAAAAACTTATTACAATAAACATGTTCAGTCCAGCTCGGAGAAAAAGATCTGTCGTGTCAAGGAGACTTGGCAAAAAGCTCTTGGTCATTACACTCCGGAGATGTGGGCAAATAGTGTTCGCCACTGTGAAGAACTAATTAAAAAAGATTGGACAACATTAATGGGAAATTCATTAATAACTGATTTACCTCCTGTCATCATCCAACTAGCGGAAGACTCAGATTCTTCCAGTAATTCTGATTTTTAAACAATATTCAAATTTTAATTATAGCACTTAATTATGTTATCTTAATATATTGCTCAAGAGTTTTAATTTCAAAACGTAGATATTAGCCAAGTGACGAGAGATTAGTGGCTTCGTCTTTAAAGTGACAACTTCGTTTAGAATATACACAACCTTACTTATTATTTAGTGGAAAATATTATAAAGCGTGGTCATAGAACATGGTATCTAGGGTGGTACAGACCGTTTTTTTATAAAAATTTGGCAATGACAATTGATTTAAATAAAAAAACAGATTATAAGTAGGTACGCCCTGGTTTCTATGGAAATATATTTTTGTATATTACATTTTAAATGAAATTCACTGTATGTTTCATTAGGGTTAAGGACTAAAGAAAATAATAATAAATTAGTTGACGACGTCTTTATTTCAAGGGATAGTTTATTTTTTACAAAGGAAAAATAAACCCAATCTGTTTTCTTTGGCGCAGGATATACTTGTCACATCTACAGAGAGTTTCCTGTTTAAAGAATACGTTTAAAAAGAACATTTTATAGTAAATTTAATCCAGAATCAATACTCCAAAAATATTTCCTTTAATAGCACCTATAACTCTCAACAATACCATTATTTTAACTGAACTTTGCGTTTATTGTTGATAAAAATGCAATTTAATACATCGTATCTTAAGAACACATTGATATATTGACATAGTCGTTAAATAAAAACCAATTTAATGATAATTTTTGGAATTTATTTATGACATACATATTAATTTTATAACGATCAATTTTCACAATATCATATCTTAATAAATAATAGAGATATCAAGACGATTTAAAAACAATTTTGTAGTAAATTTAATTCACTTTCACTTGACGACGTTTTTATTTCAAGGGATAGTTTATTTTTTACAAAGGAATAATAAACTAAATTTGTGTTTTTTGGCGTGGGATATTGACTCCTTGTCAAATCTGTTAAGAATTTCCTGCTTCGAAATTAAAAACGATTCCAGTTTATTTTAACAACAAGTTAATAGAATGTGCGTTTTGTGTATAATAAAATTTAAAAAAATGTGAAATATCTCCAATAGCAGATCCTGTAATCTCGTAAAATCTGTTTCCAGGAGGTTTGTTTTAAAATATTAAGAAAACCAACTATAACCGTTAAATTAACGAGCGCAAAATTTTGCTTATGTTTTTTTAAAAATACCTCGGTTGTGTTAACTTTTATGGACAGTTCCGCCCACCTCCGTACTTCATTATTATAATATTTCATTGTTTTAGGTATTTGGATGTGCCAAGGCGCGCCAGTAACATCACTTGTTCATCTTCGGGGAGTTCATATCTCGAACGGAGGGGTTCTTCCGTTATTTTGGGTCTTCCCGCGGTTCCCCCGCATCACCAAAAGAACCGCAGCAGAAGAAGACAATCTTCGCCGTTACCAGAACATTACGATTATTATTATCCGATCGATATCAGAGTTACTCAACCAACTCCGGGTGGTTCGCCTTGCGGGAGTGAAAGAGCTTTACACGATGAAAATAAATCACCGCAAGAAGTTCATCAACCAAAATTAGCACCTTTAGCATCAATTAGTAGTTGTAATAGTTCTTTAGGTACTGATTATGAGCCTTCGTTGGCTTCTGATTCGGTTTTCAGGGACGAGTGTGATACGGACGATGAAATCGATCCGTTTTCTACGGATACCGAGGATAGTGACACTGAAAAAGGTGCAGCTTGTTGTCGATTACCCAAAGAAGAACGAAGACAGCGAACCGGATCTGAATCTTCTTCGGCGACCGTTGCGGGAATGAGCAGACGTAGTCAGTTCAATCTGGACATTCCTTTAGCTGACAGTGCTTGTCGGCCTTCGTTGTTAAGTCTGGACAAGACAGGGTGGTCGAAGGAGACACTCTTCTAAGACATATCGAAAAAATTACTTTTTTTTAAATTTTATTTTTGAATTAAACCAACAAAATAATAAGCTTTAGTGACTCATCGGTGTTCAACGGAATATTTCCGTCTCTAGTTTTTCCCCCTTACGTACAAAATGAAAAATTAATAAAATGAAATCATTACTTTACCTAAAAATAGGAAAAATAATAATTTAATTATTGACACACAGTAGGTAAATAACTTAAATGTGTTATTATTAAAATTCGATAAAAACTCTGATTATTTTTAGTTAACCCAACTCATTTTTGATGATGTTTTTTTGAGAAACTATCATATCTTAAGTATTAACACACCATAAATATTTCTTTCCTTCGTATAAATCCTGATGATACGATTTTTTTAATTCAACTCTGCGTTTATTGAGGTTATATTGATAAAAATACAATCGTATCTCAAGAACGCATCTCAATCGTCATAAAATAAAAACCATTTTGCAGTAAATTTAGTTAGAATTTAATACCTTGAAAATAATTGTTTCATTTCTACAATCTTTTATGTGGTGAGCTTTGGAGCACTCTCTTCATTATATTCACCTAGCATTTTGTAAGAAAATAGAAAGAGGGTGTTTGATAAATTGTCTGGTTATATATTATTGATGATACATTACGTCAAATGAGTTGGGTTGGACTGAAAATTAACTACAACTCTTCTCCATCACAGTAATTGAATTGAGAAATAGATAATTTTAACTGATTCAATTAAAACGTTTTAATTTTTGCTGATGATTTTAACCGTAACAAACAGACTGCGTTTTATTTATATTTAGTTTTTTTCTTTTCTCTCTAGATCTACTAGAGTACAAAACTATCTAAAAAGTAATAACGAGAAATTATGAATTGTAATTTATCAAAAATCGTAAACGATGATAGCTTGTTGAATAAAACGTTACGTTTGCAAGGACGAGCTGTTTTTGTTATCGTTATCATTATAAAAAAAAAACGGTACTATCTGTGTAACAAAGTGTATATATTATTATAATAAAAGAAACCAAAAATATATGAAGAAAAAAATGGGATAAAAAAATCGAATTTGATAGCTACTGAGATATTTTATGTTAAAATGTTGTGAGAGTATATAATAAATAAATGTAATTATTGTTATAAAATGTTTTAATTAATACACCCACGCAATACATTTTATAACTTCATTTTTAATGTGCAATTAAAAAAGCACTTTCAAAGTATTGTTAGAAATTTCGTTTTATTAAACGGGCAAATTAACCACTTAAATTCCAATTATGTTGTTATAGGTATTTTAAGTCAATAATTGAGAGAAAAAACAATTAATTTTTCATAATCGAGACCCGGTGTCCACGCTGCTACCTTATTAGGAGACAGCCGTATACGAGGACATTTATTTGAAAAACCGTCTCTGACTCATTCGCGGTTATTACACGATTTTTAAACGTGGCGCCCACGAATTTGGTCCGGGTGAATATCACGTCACGTGACCTTGTTCTCCATACAAGTATTTAAATAATTTCGTATACCTGCATCCAAGAGAAATCGTTAATTGTTTTCATCTTTTAAATCTTACATTTACTTCAATCTATAATTAACCCTTAATTTAATACCCGTAATTTTAAACACTCATTTTAAACTGTAGTTATCTATTCGGCGCATTTAAAGCTGTTGGTACTTTCTACTATACAAGTGTATACAAGAAATAATCTGTATAAAAAACGTCGCAATCTGTACTGTAGGATTTTTAGGTACACTTTAAACTTATTCATCCAGATGTGAGGTTAGAAGTTTAGTGAAAAGTGATGCTGTTGAATTTTGTTGTTCAAGAAGGTATTTCTTTGATAAATGGTTATTAGGTGTGATTATTACAGATCATTTTAAAAAGAAAACATTGAGCTTAAATTTAAAATAAGTCTCATTCCTTAATTTCAATAAACATGGTTTCTAAGAATTTTTAAATTAGCATCTTTTTTGACTCTTTTAAATGTAAGTGTTGTTTCAACATTTTTTTTCTTAATATTTTTCCAATCCAACCCA